GTAGATAGGTCGGCACAGGAAGCGAGAAGCGACTTCGGATTCAATTTCGAATAATTGAGCATTAGAATGAATGAAAGAGTCTAAACAAATCATCCTAGGTGTAGAGGGGCTCAAATCAGGATTGTCACTAAATCAGGATGTTAATCTCCCCTCCCTATTTTAGTGAGAACGGCGAAATCGCCTACAATGATATAGTCGGTTTATCTCCACAATTTGGAGGATATCAAGGCGTATAGCCGACACAGGAATGAAACCAAATACATATGCACGAAGGTCATCCACCGCAATGATACACAGCCATAAATGAGTCAACGAATACAATATAAGGCCATCAATAATATACAAGGCCGACAATTTATTATACAAGGCTGCAAACAATAATACGTTTCCCGGCAGCGAATTGCAAAGCAAACCTGTAAGGAATTCTAGGCAAGGCTAATGCATTCAAGCATAAGTATAAGGAAGCATGATAAAGATGTGATATCAGACAATAACACGAATCAAATGAGTAATCACATGAAATATAATTACGAGACTCAATATGACATGACTGTATGTGATAACTATGAATCGGACGTGCATGTATAGTATAATAATTTCTTTTAAAATATCTATTATTATAATTACTCAAAATAAACCTCTTTATTATTTTCGTCAAAGATTCAGAATGACGCGTTCGTTATTCCTTCGAATCCACGACGCAGTCATCAAACATGACAAGTACTTTGTCCAAAAGAGGAATGGTGCTGGACAGTTAGGACTATCTAGTCTTCAAAAGATTACTGCAGCTATGCGGATGCTCGTATATGGAGCATCCGCTGACTCCATTGACGACTACATTCGGATCGGTAAAAGTACATCGCTTGAGAGCGTGAAGAGGTTCGTTCGATCGGTTATCAACATCTTTGGAGAGGAATACCTTCGTTCACCGACTAATGAAGACGTTGCACGCCTGCTCGAGGAAGGTTCACAACGAGATTTTCCTGGTATGTTTGGGAGCATCAACTGCATGCACTGGATATGAAAGAACTATCCAACTTCCTAGCAAGGTATGTATACTGGGCATTTTCATGAACCTACAATTATTTTGGAGGTCATAGTTAGCAAAGATCTTTGGATATGGCATGCCTTCTTTGAACTGCCGGGGTCTCACAATGACCTCAATGTTCTACATCGTTCATCAGTTTCCGCACAACTTGCGGGGGGAAGAGCTTCACCGTGCAACTATACTGTCAATGGCCACGAGTACAATATGGGATACTATCTCGCCGACGGGATTTACCCAGAGTGGTCCACATTAGTGAAGACTATTCTAGCACCTCGAGGAAACAAGCATAAGTACTTTACTCAACAACAAGAAAGCGCAAGAAAAGATGTTGAGCGAGCTTTTGGCGCGTTGCAAGCTCGATTTGCGATTGTTCGTGGACCAGGACGTTTCTGGCAACCATGTGTGCTGAAAGACATCATGACAGCTTGCATCATAATGCATAACATGATCGTTGAAGATGAACGAGATTGTCAATTAGACAACAACTTTGACTTTACTGATTCAGTACCAGTCGTTGAACCTTCTCACGTGCAGACGGTGCCTCTAACTGAGTTCATCCAAAATCATCATCGGATCAGGAACACGCAAACACACAAATCACTAAAAAATGATTTGATCGAGCATTTGTGGCAGCTCAAGGGATCCATCGCCGAGGATTAAGTTTCTTTATGTCTAATGAAATTTCAGAAAAGGAGTTCAGGTTGTTGTACTATGCTAAATTTATTTTCAATAAAGTAGTTGTTTTCATTCAATGCCAAAATTTCCGTTTTCAAGTACAATCATAAAATTAATCATAAGATAATATTTGATAATTAGGAAGAACTAATGAGGATGCGATGCGAGTACAATATATGCTAATTATGAAGAACCCTTAGACATCCACCTCTCTAATATCTCAGCCTGATACATTTCAAAGTATTGTCATTGAACTGAATTGAGTGTTGAGAGATCCATCTTCATGATATCGTCATATTGTTTCTTCTATTTTAGCTCCATTTTTTGATTGGTGGTTTGCTTCATCCACGCGAAAGCCTCTCCCATGATGGACTTAGCGGACTCAGAGTTTTTTACATTTTGTTTCCTCTTGAGCTTTGCCGCTTTTCTCCCTTCAGGCCTTGCTATAACATCATCCGAGTCAGTGTTCAACTCGATGGGGGTCGCTGGCATTGAATTGTTTGGTGAGGAATCAGAGTTTGTAGTTCTTCTCGGCTGTGATCGAATCTTATTGTAAGTTTCCGTTTGTTGGATCCACTTTTGATGATGACGCAACTCAACCCAGCAATGGTCAAACACGAATAGCTTACCATAAAGAGATTGGTATAATTCTTTTACTTCTGCAGTCTACACAAGAGTTAAATTTAGAATAATCAAACATATAAGTTAAATATTTACATAAAAACATATAAGTTAAATATTTACCTGGTCAATAATTCCCGTACCAGATCTTTGTCTTCCTTCAATCTGAGCAACGCACCCGCAGAACTTGTTAACAGACAGTTGAATCATTGACCAACGGTGCTTCATTTGGTTTGGTGTGCGGCTCGTTGGATCGGTAGAGTATTGGATAAAGTAGTCGTTAGCTCTGTGCCAAAACTTATCTTTGTGTTGCCTTATACCTTGGATGACGTCTTGGCTCGTGTTCAGCCAAGCAGACACAAGAAGCTTATCCTCGTGGACAGTCTAATTTTCGGACCGCGTGTAAGCCTTCTTCTTCTTTGTGGTCGGTGTTTCTTGGGATGACACTTGTTGTGTTGCGGATCACGAGAACTTGATGGGATAACCTTCTTCTACGACTTCTGTATAGAACGACGAGTATAAGGTCGATCCTTCACTGGTAAGGAGTTGCGAATAGTAGTTGTTTTGGGAGGGATCCATGAGATTTGTAATTTGATAGGAAAATATAAAGTTTTTTATGAGAGAGTTGTGTGGAATGATTTGTGTAGTGAATTGTGAATTTATAGAATTTTTTTAACTGTTCAACGACATTATTTTTCAACTCTAACGGCTCATTTTTAACGTTCATTTTCCTAACTCAACGGCAAGAAAATTTTATTTTCACTCAACGGTCATTTTTCAACTCTTCAGGCTCATTTATATTTCATTTATGGAATCTTGTGCAACCAATTAAAAAAAACTCAGGCCTCTTCATCTCCCTAAATCTTCATCTCCCCAACCGAGCTATCCAGGCCTCTTCAACTCCGTCGCCCCAAATCTTCATTATCTTCATCTCCGTCGCCCCAAACCCAGACCTCTTCATCTCCGTCGCCCCAAACCCAGGCCTCTTCATCTCCCCAACCGAGCTATCCAGACCTCTTCATCTTCATTCGAATCCAGTCCAGGCCTCTTCATCTCCCGTCGAATCAAACCCGCCGTCGAATCAAACCCTCTCCCGCAACCTCCGCCGCCTCTGC